TCTCTTTCTCTCATGACTGATGAACTCTATCTATCTACTCGGATGAGGTTCGGTATCTAAATTTTGGGGTAGAAAGTCGGCGGCGTGCTGTGTCATCCACCAATGTTCGGTTTCTAAACTGGGCACAGCATGCAATGAAGTAGATATAGAATTCCAATAAAAAAATCGTGGTCTAGACTATACTTCGAAGTAGATCGACTAGATAGATATCTTCAAAGAATACACAGTAGATAGCTCCCCAGTATAGTATGTGTATTCTATACTGTGGTCTGTGAGCCGTCGGAGATTGATGTTTCCCCTACACATTATCCGAGTCGGAATCGTCGTCAAAGTCCATTTTTCATGTAAAATGACAGCGAAAACAAAAGCATGCGCCCCCTGTCTAATCCGGCACTCTTGAGTAGCGCTTATAATTGCCAATTCTACACGAAGTACTGTCTCTAGACATTGTGGGGAAGTAATTTTGTCTGATATTTTGTTTCTATTCGAAAACAGCGACAAACGGTAGTTAATGTGGTGCCACAGGTGGCAAGTCTCTTCGCTAGTGTGTTCGAGATTTTTCGATATTACTCAGTTTCAGCAGGGCGCGCGGCGACGATCGATAAAGACAGCAGTTTCCCCGTCATGAAACTTTCTCCAATAATAAGGACACACACACGCGCGCGCACACACACACACACAATGAGTAAATGAGTAAGATCGTCCTTGGCAAGATGGCCGACAGCATGAGAATACCAACGGTCAAAGAGGTACGCGCAGACCCGACGAAGAGCGAGGAGGTAGATTTCTTCAAAGGGAAAGCTCGGGCGCAGGTGCACCTACCCATGCGAGAAGGAGGACTAGGAGTCACGAGCAATGTTCTCATTCGAGAATCGGCTTTTGTGGCAGGGCAAGCGCTGGTGTTCTCCAAGTCAGTGCAAGCATCGACAGGATACACAGTTGAGCAATGTCTACCCCGGCTTGCCCAGCTACCGACAGGATTGGCTCTGATTGACTCGCTGAAGAAGCTAGAGGAAATAATCACCAAAGACAAGCTTGAAAAAGCTGTTGGGCAGTCATGGGCTAAACTTGCCACAAGTGATGAGTTAACCCCCGCCCTCAAAGGAGTTTACTTGTTGGAAGCAGGGAAGGCGGGAAAACCCCGTGAAGATGGAAACCCTGACGTAGAACATCAACCACCGTCTACCTTCAGCCGAAATGAATTTGGTCAACACTACCAAGTCTTTGGAGCCCAAGCTCTCCTTTCGAAACCTCTTCATGCAGCAGTGCGCCACATGGTGGAGACAGACTTGCAGAAAGTAGTAGGCGAGGAAACGCCAAAGAAGAGGGCGTTGATCCGCTTGGAGGAAGCGAAGGGCAAGGGGGTTTTGTCGTGGTTGACAACGCAAGGGTTGTCAGCAGATGA